TACACACATACGCACACACAAATAGGTAAATACACACAAACACACTCACAAAAAAGGAGAAACTGAACAATGCACAGGTGTGCTCTAGGTTGGGATCTCAAGGTGAGTACAGTAAACGCTGAGCTGAGCCAAAATGCCACTGAGTTAAGCAGAGGATACCCGGTCAGAGGATGGTCACGTGGGATGGATCACACCAGGCCTGTGGTTTCACAGGATTACCAATTGGCTCTTCCCCAGATCACTACTAAGAACCCCCCCTGGGTTATTTCCACCTCAGTTTACTTCCTAGGGCCAAGGCTGGAAGACCACAATTAGCCGGCCACTGCTCTCTTGGTGCTTCCAGGCTAGGGGAGAGCAGGGCATTGAACAAGGAAACAAAGTACAGATGGACGTCTGTAAGGTTTTGAAAGAAAAGGAGCTAAAGGAAAGTTGGGAAAGCTTAAGTTGAAAAGCCAATGCGATCACCCTGATGAGCTGATTTTATGCTGACATCAGAGTATACAGTGATACCTCAGTTGCCAAATTCTGTTTTGCTCCAAAATCATGTTCAAACATGAAAAGTTTGAGAACTGAACATATTTTTTTTCCGTTAAGAAATAATGGGGGGTGGGGTGGGGTGAGGAGAAAGAATGGAAAAGCAAATCATTGGTTCTGAGGCCCCAAAACTACACTTATAAATTCACTTTTCCAGGTCTTTAACACAAAGTTAACAGCGGGCTGTGGAAAATACCCTCTAAAACTTCTGAGCACAATACATAAAGTACATTAAATACCAAAACAGGAGACCGTAAATAAAAGTAACATACTTTTCATTATGCCTTGTTGTTTAAAAACCTATGGATTTTCGGAATGGTATGCTAACATGGGCTTCCATTTAAAATCCCCATGAATATTGCCACCCAACTACAGAGGAATCCTGGGTTTGAGACGCTGGCGGGCTGGCAAAGTCTTTTCCTGCTGGGCACGTCCCCCCAGACAGTCCGGGGTTGCCACCATGGAGCTCTGGCTGGGGAGCAAAACCCTCGGCAGGCTCCACCTCTTCAGCAGACACAGCCACGGACGCCGGCTGCCTCCTCGGTGCACTGGGCCCTTGGCCACGGCCACGGTCAGCTTTGAGCCCTCCCTGCCCCGCACTCGCGCTGCACCCTCTTCATGAACTCACTCTGCAGACGCCTCCTTGCCTATCACTAGCCCGGATGTGCTCTCTCGCCTTCGACAGCGACTTTCCAACCTCTTTGCTGGTCTGAGTTCTTTGTTCCTGGCTCATCACTTCAGATCTATTGCTACTTTAGTCGCTTTATTCACATTTCTTTCTCCAAAGTGTTGTGATTTTGACTTAGCTATGTTGTAGGCAGCTGCCAAATTGGACAGGCCGGCGATAGGATTCCAATTTCCCAATGATTCCTTTCTTTAATTAATTAATTTTAATTAATCATCTTATTGTGGGGTCCTACAGATAATATAAGAATCCATAAATCAATTATATCAAGTAAACTTGTACACAGGCTGCCATCCTCACTTTCAAAACATTTCCTTTCGACTTGAGCCCCTTGGTATCAGCTCCTCTTTATTCCCTCCCTCCCCGACCCGACCACTCTGTGAACCCTTATTCTTATTACTTCTTTCCTATCTTACACTGCCCAATGCATCCCTTCACCTAGTTTTGTTATTTGGGAGTGCCCAGGGGGGCAATGCATCCACCACGGATCTCTTTCTTTAACGCCGCGTGGTGCTCGGTTGTCCTAGCTTTCCTGCTGGTACGGTTAACTTTCTTTGCCGTCGCCCTGGTTACAGTATTTTACACAAAAAGCACAATGACGAATGTTTTATGCTGCTAACACAAGCACTACATGTTGTCTGAGCAAGAATGACGCTTAGAACGCACGTCACCCCTTTGCCTCCGCGGTGAGTCACGACACGTGCCTCTCTCTAGGCCTGGACAGAATTTTCCAAGTTGGATTTTCGGTTGGACTACAGAGCAAAGTTACAAACACTGAGCAGATTTTTCTCGCTATTTCTGTTCAAGTAATGGAAAGATTTGAGGGGGGAGCCATTTGACAACCGAAGTATCACTGCAGTAGGTAGCCAGCAAGGCAGAGTGAGAAGAGAGCTCTGGGCAGAGGAAACGGTACGTGCAGTAGAGGAAAGCTCTGAACAGGTGTGTACCTGGCTTTCCAGGTACAGAAACATGACCAGAGGGCTTGAGCAGCCCCAGGAAGTGGACGCCCTCCTCGAGAACAGTTCAGGAAGAGAGCTCAGAAGTAGACCACATCAAACAGGACTGGGTAGTAGGCCATATGAAAAAGTTCAGATTTTTGGTAAATCTATTCAGTGGTTACAAGTTGCCCTGCAGTCCTCCTGGTTGGACATTTGCAGCCACCAGCAGCTATTCCTGTAAACAGTTACCAGTCTGGGACACCCCCAGGGCGTCACTGTTGCCTGGATGACCTTGAGTGAGATCTAGACCTCACTGGATTAAGTTTCCTGGGGTTATGGCAGGGGAGGTGGGGCGCTAATACGACGAGTCTGAGAAAGAAGAAAATGTTCTGAATTGAGCGTGGTGATGACTGCACTGCTCTTTTTAATATGTTTAAGCCAGTGGATTGTATGGTCTATGAATTAGCTCAATAAAACGGTTCAAGTAAATTTAAAAAATCAGTTCAGAAAGCAGGTAAATCATTCAAAAGTTCTACAAAGGCACATGAGATGATGCAGTTCAAGTTCACTCAGGCTGTTCTGTGGAAAACACCACAGAAGGGGGCAAGAAAAAAAGATCAGGTGTTCTAGTTTTTTGTTTTGGCTACGTGCATATAATGACATTTCCCATCAATGTCCTAGATTGCCCACTGACACCGATTGCATTACTACTGAATTTGTTGACTAATGAATGCTTGCTAATGCAGAAAATGAATCTGGCGGGAGCTAACCCTTTGCAGATGTTACTTTTAGTTCAGTTTTTGTGAGTAGTATCGCACATGTGCCCATACAGGCGGACGTAGGTCACAGTACATACCTGGAACACTGAGATAGCGCAAACACTGACCAGAATCACAACTCTGACGTCCACCTTCGGGGCCAGCCGCCGGCTGTAGTAGTGGTAGTAATGGCTGTAGTACTCTTCTGGGTGGTCGAGCATGTAGTCATAATCTTTTCGTGTGTCTTCATCCTGTAGGATACAACACAGTATCCAATTTTCAGAATACATTTCCTGGAATTGCCATAATTTAGAATCTGCCAAGTTAAAGCTAGGGTCGGTAATCATAAAGTCACTAAAGCGAGTGAAAGAACCTCCCCCCAAATGTCCATCACGTCAAGGACACGCACACACAGCTGTTCCGAGAACGTCACTTAGATCGAACGCATAATGCAAGCATCTCCCCAGACTCGTGAGTGCTGCTGTCAGCTCCAGAAAAACGGAAGCACTTCGGTGCAGATTACCCATGTTTTCCAGCCAGATCTGTGGCTCTAAGGAGGGTCCTGTGTTCCCACAACTTAAGAGCGGCTTGCTATTACCCTAATAACCGTTGATAAAAATATTCATGTCTTGTATATGTTAACAACCTTGAAAACAAAGTTTTCTGTTTCTAGCCATGATTAAAACAGCAAAACAGCAGATGGTGCCCACGGTGTGCCTATAGAGAGGAAATAAAACTCATCTCAATGGTCAAAGTTGACTGCAGTGGAATGGAAGGAGCATCGGTCAAAATCGAAGCACTTCTTCAATTTAACAGCTTTGTGACCCGCTGCAAAATGCTTAGCCTCTCTGAACCTTACTCTTGTTTGTTAATGAACTAGAGATAGTAACATCTGCCCGGATGATTTTATAGGAATGCTTTGAAATAAACTATTAGCCATTCTGTAGTCGTAACACAAACATGTACTACGTTAACAGTCACCACCCAGTTAGAAAACAAATGAATAGACAGATCTTTCCTACTTATATCAACATGTTGAAAGAATCACAGCATTTTGAAATGATGCTCTGATGCTCACCAATAAAACATTTCCTAAAACTGTCTTGAACGGTAAGCAGCTTCTAAGAGAATCTTCTATTGCCCGACATTGGCTAAAGAGTTTATTAAAGTGGCTATGGTTTGCTCTGTATCCTACAGAAACTTTCAGTTCAAATGCTTTCTTCTCTATAAATATTTTGAAACAGCAGTTCCTTGTAGGATGAAGTATTCAGCATTCATAAAACTAGATTCTAGCTAAAGGTAGTTTTAAATCTATACCTCGTCTTGGGTCACGATAAGGTCAACATGAGTCAGAACTGGTTTGGTCTGGCTTGTTGCAGACAGGCTCAGGAGTCTCTGCAGGGCTCCTTCTGAGCCTTCTAACATGGAGGTCTTTGATTAAAACAAGAAGCTTGCTAATGACAAAATCTCCTGTGAATCCATTAAAATCAGTACATATATTCTATGAAGAATTTTTACTTTAACTAAGAGCATTCTCAATGATAGTCATTCATTACATTTAAATTATAACTATTTTACCTCTGATTCTTCAATCTACCCAATTTCCCCAAAAGTTTCAGGGTCCAAGCTGACAGTTCCTTGTTCTCGGGGGTCAATCATAAGTTTTATGACTATTTTGGCCATGATCAGGGATCAAAGGTTGCTCACCTCCTTAGCATGTATTTAACCATAACCAGACTCCTCACTTTAGGGTTTATAGCTTTCTCTCCATCACTAAGAAAATTATCTTTAGGCTGAGACATAGAGAACACACTTCAGAAAGAATTCGAGGTTGGCATACATTGGTCGGAGTTACAAGTTCTAAACGGCCGAGTAACACCGACTCCTTAGTAACCCCGAACGCTTAGCACCGACCCAGTGAAGAAGACAAGGGCACCAGGAGGTGAGCACAGAAGACAAGACACAATTACAAGTATTGCCTTTCTTTCCGGGATTCCGTTTGAACTCGATGGACACATTATGATTTTGACAACTTATTTATTTCACTCCCACACATCGTAGAACTAAGGTATAGGCTGGGAGTGCCCACCCTCCCTGGGTCCCCAGTGACAATAAGGTCAACTCTTCTCGCCAGGCAAAAGACCTCTCCAACGGGTCAAAGGTACCTCCCACACTCTTTCTGCTTCCTCTGCCCAAGCCAAACATTTACATAGCAATTTCTGGAACTCCAGCTCTTCCTCTGTAACTGGAGAGCCCAGCCCGTTCTCCTCAGCCTCATCAGCTCCCACAAACACGACCGCCTCAGACAGGGCAGACCACTCCAATTATATTTATCATAGCACTTATCACACTGTAACGAACAGCATTGTGGAGAGGAGGGAAGTCATTAATTCCTATATACCCAAGGCCTAGCACAGTGCCTGGCATGTATTAAAAGTCACTTCAAAACGGAATGAAACTCTGTCAAAGCGCGCCTTTCACAAGCTTCTATCTCTGCGGCCACCCATGTCCCCATCTCACCAGCAAGGCTAGATAGGTGGTTATGTCACCACAAACCATCAGCTTGGTAGAAATGATTGATTTTATAGTTTATGGAAATATGCTTGTGTGGCTAAAATAGCTTAAACCTTAACACAGTTGAATAGCTTACCTTTCAATAAGGTAGTGCTTTTTCTTTCAGCAATTCTGTGGATCTTAAGGTCCCAGGGTCAGGAGATTCCAACTTCTTTCCAAACCAAAACCTTTATACTTGTTTCTTCCTCCTCTCTGTCCTGAGCCTCGGTAAGCAGGGCAAGTAGCGCCTGGTTTCTAATCTCTACAGAAGTAAGTGGTGCTTCTGCTGGTGTCCACTCCACTCCCAATCCTCGTGGGCATGGGCAGGAGGGCTGGAACATCACCACCAGTGTCTAGATCAGAAGTGAATAAGAGGGAACCCACAGTACTGAATCCTTGCCTCCTCGCAGAAGTATCACCCCCCTCCCCAGAGGCAAAAGTGTATTACGTTCTTGCCCTTGAAAGAGATAATGAATTGTTTGATCAAATTGCAATAACTTGATATTGCGGCCAGTTTTACATTACAATTTTCTATTACACAGAGTGTAGCAACCATTTTAAGATGGTAAAGGCCAGGACAAGAAAATATAAAAACCGACTAATGCTTTGCTCAGTCTTAAATGTGTATTAACCCTTTTTTCAAAGGAAACACATACAAGTCATCCTTTAAAAAAAAGACCCCAAAAACGCTGTCCTCCTACTAAAAGGGAAGAGATGAACTGTCCTGGTTTCTCTGGTTGCCCCCAAGTGCCAACTCACTGGTGGCGCCTGTCTCTCGCGGGCTTCTCAGGCTGCGCGACCTGGCATGTGACCTACAGAACTGGTACGGCTCGCATCGTGTCGGTCCTGCAGCACCTATTTCTCCCGCTCTCCTGAATGTTTTCTAACAAGAACACAATGTCTTAAATTCAACATGCTCAAAAACCAGGTGTGTTCCTCTGGCTTTCAAATAATAGTATCACCATCATCTGCTCAGTCGCCTGAGCTTTTAAAAATTACTCACTTTCTACTTGGGAAATAGTTACCTACATACTCAAGTATAAGCTGACCTGAATACCAACCAAGGCACCTAATTTTACCACAAAAGTTACATTTAAAATATGCTGAAACGCTCGGCGTTTATGCGAGTATATATGATATGTTGGACATCAGGCCCTGTTAAATACAAAACCCAAACCCAAACTCACTATCACCAAGCTGATTGTGACGGAGCGGCCCTCATAGGACATAGGAGAACCGGCCCTGTTGGTTTCTGAAACTACATTTGTAGGAGAATGCCTCATCTTTCTCCCTTGGAGCAACTGGTGGTTTTAAACTGCTGACTTTGTGGCTTACCAGCCCAACTTGTAACCCAATATGAAGTAGAAGACAAAAAAGATGATGTCTTGGCCACAAGAACCATCCCACCTGTAGATGATTCCACCAAGCGAAAAAGCACAATTTAATGTGTTACGGAAAATGGAAGAAAAAAAAAAGGCTAACCCTGCTCAGAACCATTGTCAATGAAAACTAGACCTTAAACACAAGAAGATGTGGAATTTGGGGGCAGCAAATATGCGGGACACAGTGAAGCTGGAGTCCTGGGAAAATCTGGGGAGGAGGAGTACATGTGGCTATGTAGGTTTGGTTGAGAGCTGTAGATCTTACGTCCGTGCTACTGGGTGTCAGGTCTGTGCTGCTTGAAGAAGTGTTTTAAAGTCATGAACAACAGCATAGAGTAGCGGTATACCGCTGGGAGGAAAGCGGTATACCATGAAAGTAAAGAACGGTGAGGGAGAAAAAGAGCTGAGAGAGCAAGTAGAAGAAACAGGATTTGGTGATGAAAAAGCATGTTAGAATCAAAGGAGATGCTGCGCATGATACTCAAGTTTCTACCGAAGGTTCTATTGTGAGGACCACGCTGTCGTTCACTAGATTAAACAACGAGAGCAGGAAGAAAATGGGGTTGAAGAAGATACAGGGGGAAACAGTGGCAGATGTTGAAACTGTAGGGGCGGGACCCATTTCCAATGGAAGCCTGGAACTCCCAGAGATGATCTATCCATGAATGTGGTGTGTGTCTCTGATTATCTTTGACTAACCTATTTTACTAGTTAGAGACAGTTTGTGGAAAACTAAGGCAGGTAAACTGTGACTGCTGTGTGCGGCGGGGTCACTTCCGAGTCACAGTGTCACTCGGAGGACAGGTCGAACTGGCCCTAGGTTTTCCTAGGAAAGGACCGTCTTCATAGCAGTGGGCGCATCGCCAGGTCTTGTCTCCCCCAGAGCAGCTAGTGGGTTCAAAATGCTGCCATTTCCAATAGCAGTGGCAGGCTTAACCATCGTGTCCCCGGACTCCTACAAAGAACGTAGACCCCGGACGTCTAAAGAGAACAAAATAGGGGTCTTTGTGCTGTTGTCAACATCATCTACGATGATAATCCTGCACAGGCTAATTGGAAACATCAAGCGCTCGGTGTCCAGCTAGAACGGACCCAGGTCCATTCTGGCAGAGGATGTCAGTGCCAGGTACTTACAGAACCAGAAGGGAACACTGGTATGTAATCATCCGTGCGCACAACTGGAGAGTAAGGGCACTCACAGCAGAGACAGCCAATGCCCCCCACACACCGCGGTGCCCTCTGGGGGCCAGGGGAGAAATCACTATCAATCATGTCACTTGCTCCCACTAAAGTCTGATAAGTCCTAACAACTCTTA